GGGGAACGTGCTCGTAACTCGTGGATCGAAATGGCAAGTTCTGATACAGCTTTCTCCAAACGAGAGAGCCGATCTGTTTGGTGTGCGGTTGCACCACTGGTGGAACAAATGTCTGAATTAGGACTGGTTATCTCCATAATTTTGTCAGCCATAGCGGCCAAGGCATGGAGACTGTCTTGCTTGGTCACTAAAACTGAACGCACGTTGTTAGGCAACCTCTGTAGAAAGAGCGTTCTAAGGAATTCGTCCGTTACTTGTGTACCGGCCAGTGCCCGCATTTCTCTTAGTAGTGCCGAGGGCCTTTTGTCTCCTAGCTCGATTTCTAGGAGTAATTTTTTTGCCTTCCTACTTTCGGATTCTTCGAACTCGTCGATTAATCGCGTTTTTAGGTCCGTGTAGGGCGTGCTCGTCAACGGTTGGGATATTAGATCGGCGACCAATTCGGCTATTTCACAGTCAAGCGATCCTAGTACATGATGGTATTTCGTAACTTCTGTCGTGATATTAGAGACAGCGAATTGTGATTCCACCTGTGTGAACCATACTCTAACGTTCTTTCTCCAAAAGGGTGGAATTTTCACCGATACACGTGCTACCTCGACGGGGTCTTCACTCTTGCTCATGATGGAAATATATAATATAAATACTCACAAATTGGGTAAATAAGTTCTTGTGATCACGTTCGGCTCACCACTTTGGAGTCTTGATCAAATAATTGCAGATTTCAATTAATAAAACAAATTTATTAAGCGCTCGAATACTGTACAGAGTGCCGGCAGTGTCGTACACGTGGTCAGACAGACTGTCCGGGAGACAAAGACTGAAAACTAAGGGCACGGTAAGTGTTGCCAGGTTGGCCACACTAGAAAAATTTTTATTGTAATTTTCTTGAGAATGCCTGAATAGTGAGTTCTGTGGCTTTAGTGGAGTATAAATATAGGAAAATACAGCATATCCATAAAATGTAATCAAAATTGGTGATTACAAACTGCTGGGTACCCCTTGTGAGTTGAAAGCAAGTGTGCTGCTATGATACTATGATATGTATAATTATGGAACTACAATAGCTTAATGTAAACAACAGGTTGTTATCTAGACGTGCAATCTAAGTTGTAAATAGAATCTTATGGTCTTTATGTATGATCACAAATTGCAAATACAACTTTTATCAACAATCAACTTTTATTGCAAAAATGTTGTAATGTTAGGACAGCATTATTCTACTGATACTCATTCACTCTCCATAACAGTCTGACATAAAATTACTGTTAATAAATTTATATTAAAACATTTTAATTATAAAAACAATTATATAATTTATTTCATAAATTTTAATTTTATATTATATATTGCAGATTGGTTGCAAAGAAAAATTAGTTGACTGGTTTTATACAAACAAGGCCATTTGGATCACCTGTCTCGGGGCACTTCTGCTTCTACAGGTAAATATTAAATATATTTGTCATTGTTAAATAATCAACTTTTAAACTTTTATTTTAAACAATAAGAAAATANTTATTATTTAAATACTATATTTTGTGTAAATATTTTCAATTTTAGATTTCTTGCAATAAGGGATGATATTGCAAAATTTGAATTAAAAATTTAAAAAACCAAAATTAAAAATATTCTAAGACATCTAGAAACATTTTCAGTTTCTTTTATTTTTATGCAAAAATGCATTTAGACTTTATTCTGTTAACAATTCATTTACTACAGAAATTATTATTAAATATCTCATAATCATGACAAATTTGTTTTCAAATTCTGGAAGTTTAAGAATTTGTATAACTTGTATAATTTGCATAGTTGTAAAATTAAATTCAATTTTGCTTTATTTAGATTTATATTGAAACATTTTTCATTATTTTAAATTTCAGTTCTTAATATTTTCTTTGCTCACAATTTCTTGTGAGATTGGTGGTATCATTGCTCTTAATATAATGAAGATGAAAGTAAGTTGTTTGATTTAATTTAATTTAATTAGAAATTTTTCAAACAAAATTTGTTTGAATTACTGTATATAATTGAAGTAATCTGTGATAGAATATTAGTAAATTTAAGATCTGAAAGTAAGTCTAACTTAGTGTAAATGAAAATTTTATTCTAATGAGTTTCCATCATTTTCTAAAATATTTTAGATGACAGATATACTTCAAACAGCTTGGATGGAAATAAATCAAAATACAAGAAATGTGATTCAAGAACATGTAAGCTAATTAGTTTAATATAATTAAAGAGAAATTTCATTTTGTAATGCTGATAATTATTTTAATCTTTTTTATTACAGTTTGTTTGTTGTGGATTTGTTGGACCTCAAGAATTTGCTGATACAAATGATCCTATTGATGACAGTTGTTATTATAAAGTATTAGAAGGACAAAATATATCTGTAGTTGGATTGCGGCAATTGAACAGAGTAAGGTTTTTTAATAATTATTAAAAATTTTCTGATTAATGTCATATATATACATAGTTTACATTTCTGAAATATTTTTATACTAGCAGACCCCGCCATGCGTTGTTGTGGCTCAAAATGTATCTATTATAAATTTATAACACTTCCCCCGTGGGGGGAAATTTTTCGAAAAATTTCTTCTTAGTGTACATTCTCTTGACGTACCCTATTAAAACGCAAACAAAAACCCGCATCTAAAATAGTATAAATAGAAGCAGAGTTCTTTAC